AGCCAGGAAATAGCTAGTTTTTCAGCCTGATGTGAGCTAGTTGTTCAACCTGGTGTTGGTTAGTTGTTCTGCCTGCTGTTAGCTAGTTGTTCAGCCTGGTAAGCTAGTTGCTTAACATGGCAATAGCTAGCTGTTCAGCCTGGTAAGCTAGTTGCTTAACATGGCAATAGCTAGTTGTTCAGCCTGGTAAGCTAGTTGCTTAACATGGCAATAGCTAGCTGTTCAGCCTGGTAAGCTAGTTGCTTAGCATGGTAATAGGTAGTAGCTAGTTGTTCAGCCTGCTAAGAGCTAGTTGTTTAGCCTGGTGTTAGCTAGTTGTTTAGCCTGGTGTGAGTTAGTTGTTCAACCTGGTGTTGGTTAGTTGTTCCGCCTGGTGTTGGCTAGTTATTATGCCTGGTAAGCTAGTTGCTTAGCATGGTAATAGGTAGTAGCTAGTTGTTCAGCCTGCTAAGAGCTAGTTGTTTAGCTTAATATTAAATAGTTATTCAGCTGGTATTGATTAATTGTTCAGCCTGGTTTTAGCTAGTTTTTCAGCCAGATGTTGACTAGTTTTTAACCAATGTTTTAAATTGTGTTCTATCAAAGTCTGTGTAGCAGAATTAATGAATGTCTGCTGAAATTTGCTGAAGAAGCTGAAACTGAGTTGTTAAAGTTAAAACACACAATGCTAGCTAAAAATAGCAGAACCTACCCTAAAAGGTAAAAGAAGCAGAGCCCCAGAAGATAAAAGATTAAAAAATAAAAACACTAACTGAAAGCTAAGGGGTAGCTTAAATGTACAAATAGCAACAGGCTAACTAAAAGCTGAAAGTAGCCAAAAGGTAGCTAAATGCAGAATAAGAGTCGGTTTACCGACGTAGATTACAGAAATCAATATTTTTGAAGGACCTGAAGAGATCTAAAAGTATTTATGGGTAAATATTTGTAAATAAATTTTATAAAAAAGTGTTAGTTGTAAAAACTAAACGTCCTAGCATTGTTCTCCTGAATGAGCTGAACATTTTGATAAACAAGTCTAAAATAGCAAAAGTGTGCAGAAGTTATATTCTAGAAAACATGAACCCTGAATGACAATAAATCTGTCAGAACGTCACCAAATCACAGAATCTGCTTCAATAAACCTGTGAATTTGCAGGTAAGATCCTTTTAACGGAGCCACTGTGTCGTGTATTTTCCTGAAACCCACTCGTTCCTTTTGGCTCCACAGAACAAAAAGAATAAAAGCAGGCGAGGAGGAGGAGTCCTGCTGCTCGGCTGATGGCCGTCTGGAGTCACTAAAAGCAGGCCGATAATAAAAGTCTCACCTGTATAATTTCCAGCTCTTGTTCTCCTGTTGGTTTGCAGGTTTTTAGACTTTATTTACAGATGGATGACGAGCCTCCACTTCCTCTCACTGCATGAAGAGGAAATGTTCTGGGCATGTGTGAGCTGAGGTAATCAGGGAGGTAGAGGTTGTTTTTTATTTGTTTAATCAAAACATGGTTATGTGAAGAGTGAAGGATGAGCATTTGGAATCACCCAGATTCAAGATGGCATTCACAGCAAATAAACTTTAAAAACCAAACATGCTCTAACTCAACCAGTTGTAAAGACATTCAGCTAAAACTGTTGGTAATAATATGTACAACAGTTAAATATCAGCTACGAACTGTTTTAAGACGGCACTGATCCAGTTTGATCTTCGTTAGCTTGGACTAGTTGTTGGTTTAGACTGTTAGTTTGGTCTAACTGTTGGCCTGGAGTAGCTGTTAGCTTGGTCTAGCTGTTAGCCTGGAGTAGCTGTTAGCTTGGTCTAACTGTTAGCCTGGAGTAGCTGTTAGCTTGGTCTAGCTGTTAGCCTGGAGTAGCTGTTAGCTTGGTCTAACTGTTAGCCTGGAGTAGCTGTTAGCTTGGTCTAGCTGTTGGCCTGGAGACCACTTTTCAGTTTTTTATTTGTTAAAAAAGTTTGACACATCCAATAAATTTCATTCCACTTCACGATTGTGTCCCACTTGTTGTTGATTCTTCACAAAAAATTTAAATTTTATATCTTTACGTTTGAAGCCTGAAATGTGGCAAAAGGTTGAAAAGTTCAAGGGGGCCGAATACTTTCGCAAGGCACTGTACGTGTTTTGAGGTTGATGTCCCTCACGTGGATGAGGGGCTCCACTCTGGGGGAGGGGCTTGTTGGCGAGCATCTGGTGACCTGGCCTTTACCTATGGGGTTCTGTCTGGCTCGGCCTGAATGAGCTGCAGGAGGCCCCTACCTGTCAGGTGCAAAGAGCTGTGTGTGTGTTGGTGCTCTGACTCTAATTTACCAAAGATGGCTCCATAAATACTAATGTAAACAAAACAAACGAGTTTCTGGTGATGTTTTCTTCTCCGTCTCCTGCAGACATCATCGTCCTGATTGCGTCAGTGGCGGTGGTCTCGGCGGGCAGCCAGGGGAACATCTTCGCCACCTCGGTCCTGCGGAGTCTGCGCTTCCTGCAGATCCTCCGGATGGTTCGGATGGATCGAAGAGGAGGAACCTGGAAGCTGCTGGGATCGGTGGTGTACGCTCACAGCAAGGTGGACAGCCGAAACACAAACACTCTTTAAAAAAACTGAAGAATTAAAAAAGTACAAACAAAGAAAAATGTGTAAATGCTGAGTCAGCATCACTCTGATGGTTCAGCTCGATCAGCGATAGGATACTACAACATTTAGTTTGTAAAAATTTTAGTTTTTTAAATATTCACCTCTATGTAAAATAAATTCTCCATAGAAACATTGAGATCTTTTCAGTTCCTTCAAAACAGTTCTGTTTTAAATGTGTTTCAGCTTCTGGCTCTACTTCTGGCTTCTTTTACTGCTTTTAGCTACAGTTGTTTTTGTTTTGTTACAAGTTTGTAATTTTTAGCTTTAAGACTATTTTACTTTCTTAACTAATCTACTACTTTTGTTACTTTTAGTTTTCATCATGCTTTAAGCTTTTGGCTATTATACTACTACTCTTAACTGGGAATTTGCTAATTTTAGCTGCTGTTCTGCTGCTTTTAGCTACTGTTCTGCTGCTTTTAGCTGCTGTTCTGCTGCTTTTAGCTGCTGTTCTGTTGCTTTTAGTCATGGTTCCACTGCTTCTTGCTACAATTTCTGTTGCATTTAGCTACTGTTACTTTGCTTTTAGCTAGTATTTCAATGTTTTTAGCAACTTTTCTGTTGCTCTTTGGTACTGTTCATTGCTTTTTAGCAGTTGTTCTACTGATTTTAGCTGCTGGCCATTGCTTGTAGCTGCTGTTTCATTGCTTTTAGCTATAGTTTTGCTGTTTTTAGCGGCTCTTCTGCTTTTAGCTGTTCTTCTACTCCTTTTAACTGCTCTTCTTCTACATTTAGCAAATGTGCTCCTTTTAGCTGCTTTTCTTCTACTTTTAGCTACTGTTCAACTTCTTTTAGCGACTCTTTTTCTGCTTCTAACTACTGCTTTGCTCCTTTTAGCTGTTCTTCTACTTTTAGTTACTGTTCTGCTCCTTTTAGCTGCTCTTTTACTTTTAGCTACTGCCCTGCCCCTTTTAGCTGCTCTTCTTCTGCTTTTAGCTACTATTCTGCTCCTTTTAGCTGCTCTTTTACTTCTAGCTACTGTTCTGCTGCTTTAGCTACTGCCCTGCTCCTTTTAGCTTCTCTTCTTCTGCTTTTATCTGCTGCTCTTCTGCTTTTAGCTTTCGTTTTAGCTACAGTTCTATTAGCTTCTAGTTTACCAGCTGAGTTTTAGCTGTCGTTCAGCACTCGGCAAAAAACTCAGAATGTTGAATTTTAATTTAAAAATAAAAAATAAAAGAAGTTTGCTCCACTTTTGTTTTTATGTTTTATCAACAGGTCTGTAAATATTAATTATGTCACAAAAACTGAGTTTATTCTTTTAATTTTATTGTCTGTGGACAAGTTTTTCATCTGAAACCAAACTCTGGTTCTGTTCAGTTTGTGACCCGGTACCGGTCCTGGATTTAAAAACCTTGTTTTTACTGAAATATTTCAGCTGCTCGTCTCTTTACTCTTTGTCTTCACCTCCTTCGGCCTGTGCAGCCTCTTTTAAAATAAAAATATTAAAAGTTTTTACGGCCTCTTTGACGTTTGCTGCATTCACAGCAAACAGGTGAGCTCAGGTGCAGCACCACGGGCCCGTCAGTGTCTTACCTGCAGCAGACTGATCTCAGTTTGTAGTCGAGCTAACGGCTAATCAGAAGTAAACTTCAGGTAAGATACTGACTGATCAGAACCAAACCACGCAGCCTCACTTTAAAGAGACCCGGTCAGTTCCAGAGACCCGTGGTTCTGGACGGAGCCACAAATGTCCTCGGGGTTTCTCTGATGCCTCTGCTCTGGTTTCCTCCTGCAGGAGCTGGTCACGGCCTGGTACATCGGCTTCCTGGTTCTGATCTTCTCCTCGTTCCTCGTCTACCTCGTGGAGAACAAGTTCAACAAGGAGTTCGAGACGTACGCCGACGCGTTGTGGTGGGGCATGGTGAGTTTGGACCGGCGCCGATGGAAAAGAACCCATTTGCAATTTTATGTTTCAGATTTTTCTCTCCCTGGCTGAGCATCGACCTCTCCGGTTCAGCTGGCCTCTGACGGCTCTTCCAGAATTATCGAGCCCGCTCGGGTCCGTTGAGCGTAATTTTCTAACTCCAAGATTCAAAATGGCTCCTTTCACACGACAGTCGGTGAAGCCACCGTCTGTCTGCAGAGAAAACTGAAGTCCACACATAAAACGTCTGGTTCTGTTCGGACAGAGGTCCATTTGTGTCTGAATGTTCCTCTTAAACCATTCATCATCCTCAGACTTCCAGCAGAACCGACCGGTTCTGAAGCTGCACAGAAAGAAAATGAAACAATTCTCTGAACCAGTCAAACCAAAAACCAACCAGCAGGTCACGTCTCTGAGGGGTTTGAAGAAAACCTAAATGTTTTTGGTGTCACGGAGTGGGGGGAGCAAGTTTATTCACCACCAGGTGCAGAGGTGGAGCCAGGGGGTGGCCAGTGGTGGCCATGGCCCCCACAGATGAATCTTCAGCCACATCCAATCTTTTGAGAAAATTATACTTTTAAGCAAAATAAAAACTAGACAGCAGTTCTCTCGAATGATTGAGGTCTCTGGGTTACATACATTTATGGCGGTGGCCATCTTGTTTTTTTTGACAAAGCAACCCAATTTTTGGTAGTGACCTTTCTTATGCCTAGATGCAGCCACATACCAAAATAGAAGTTGGTACCTCTTTTATTTTTTTTTAAGTTATCCATTTCATGAGATGGATGGAGGGGACAATCATAACCGAGCAGCAAAAAGTTTTTGTTTTCGACAAAATACATGTGTTGGAGCAGGAAACAACTAAAACATGCAGGATGGAGTTCCTCAGGGACCAGGGTTGGGAACCGTAGACCCATTCTCTTTCTACTTCTTTTTATTCTTTCTATTATTATTATTTTTGGCCTGGTTTGTATTTCTGCATGTTTTGCAAATAATCAAAGATCCATCCATTTTCTTTGGCTTATCCGGGGTCGGGTCGCGGGGGTAGCAGCCTAAGTAGGGAGGCCCAGCTCCTCCGGGGAAATCCCAAGGCGCTCCCAGGCCAGCTGAGAAACTTAGTCCCTCCAGCGTGTCCTGGGTCTTCCTCTGGGTCTCCTCCTGGTGGGACGTGCCCAGGAGGCATCCTAACCAGATGCCTGAGCCACCTCAACTGGCTCCTCTCAATGTGGAGAAGCAGCGGCTCTCCTCAACATCTCAAGACGTAAAATAAAAAATAAAAAAGTTTGGTTTTATAATTTTAGACCCTGTGATGGTATAATCAGTTTACTTCTACTCTTTTAGAAACTGATAAAAAAAAAAGCTAAAAACGCTTATGTCTTGAAACAGATTTGCTTTAATGACAACTCCTTTATAATTTAAAACACTTTTGGAGATGTTTGGGGTTTACGTTGCAGATATTTGTCAAAAATACCTTTTTGGTTTGTCAGATCACCTTGACAACCATCGGTTATGGAGACAAAACGCCGAAGACGTGGACGGGACGAATGCTGTCCGCAGGCTTCGCCTTCCTCGGCATCTCCTTCTTCGCCCTGCCAGCAGTAAGTCCGTGTTGTTCTCATCCACCTCATAATTACAGCAGAAAATGTAAATCTATTGAAATCTATTGGTCCTGTTAGCACCGTGGTCCTGTTAGCAGCGTGGTATTGTTAGCAGCGTGGTCCTGTTAGCAGAGTGGTATTGTTAGCAGCGTGGTATTGTCAGCAGCGTGGTCCTGTCAGCAGCGTGGTCCTGTTAGCAGCGTGGTCCTGTTAGCAGCGTGGTATTGTTAGCAGCGTGGTCCTGTTAGCAGCGTGGTCCTGTTAGCAGCGTGGTCCTGTTAGCAGCGTGGTCCTGTTAGCAGCGTGGTCCTGTAAGCAGCGTGGTCCTGTAAGCAGCGTGGTCCTGTTAGCAGCGTGGTCCTGTTAGCAGCGTGGTATTGTCAGCAGCGTGGTCCTGTAAGCAGCGTGGTATTGTTAGCAGCGTGGTCCTGTTAGCAGCGTGGTCGGGGGGGGTGGGGGGTCTCAAAACTCCAGACTGGATATTTTTAAACACGTCAAAAAATCTGTTTGGACAAACTACGGTTGTAAAATGCCTTTTTTTAATTTCCATCAAATAAATATGATACATATTGTGATGTAATCATGTGGTTTGACCACTACAGGGACATGTTACCATAACGATATGTGGATGAAGATATCTTCAGGTAAAAAAAAAAAACGGTGGTTCAGATATTTATGCATTTTTTAGGCACTGGCATGGAGTCCAAACAGAAGATCACCTGAGGAGAGACGAGCTGCGTGTTTCATCAGAATATAAACTGATGATTTAATCCACCAAAAGTCTGATTCAGTGATTGTCTCACCAGGGGATTCTGGGTTCAGGCTTCGCCCTGAAGGTCCAGGAGCAGCACCGACAGAAGCATTTTGAGAAGAGGAGGAACCCGGCCGCCTACCTTATCCAGGTAAACTTCATGGTTCTGGTACTGAAGCTGCATTTAAGCTGCAGCTGGAGAACAGATATTTTCTAGATTAGATACTTTTTCATTTTTTGACAGACGAGCTACATTTCTTCTCTCACCTCGTCGTGTTTTCAGGCCTGGAAGGGCCCGGCAGAGGGAAAGCTCCCGGGCCGGATGTGGGAATTACTGTAAATGCTATAAATGCTAGAAAAGCTGCGCCTCATTAATAATGACTTATCCTAAACACTCCAGACGCTGCTCAATCTAAAGTGAATAAACGTAAATGGTAAAATAGATAAATCTGCTGAAGCGTTGCTGGTAGGTGTTGGGCAGTTTTTGAAGCTTGTTTTGATTTTTAATCAACGAATTATTGTGCACGACCTAGTTTTGCAAGCTGTGGACATCAAAACATGAAAAACGGCTGTGTAAATGGAAAAACAACAAAAACAACCCAGCTCGGTACGCTTCAGCATGGCTCGCTGGTTAACATGCTGCTGGTTACGTAGCCAGACGGTGTTTCTCGACTGATCTGGAGTCTGGTCTCAGGCTCAACATCTCAGAGAGTCCAGCTACCCTGAAGAGAAAACTCATTTGAACTGTTTGTATCCAAAGTCTCGCTCTTTTGAGCGCTGCCCAGAGTTCCTGACCACAGCTGATGGTGGGAACGTTCACCGGCCGGTAAACAGAAAGCCTCTTCTTTCAACTCGGCTCCCTCTTCACCACACCTGACCGGCTCGGAGTTCACAGTACTTGAGAAGCCGCACCGATCAGTCCGCTGATCTCCCGCTCCGTTCGTCCCTCTCTCGTGAACAAACGGAGATACTTGAACTCCTCCGCTTGAGGCAGAACCTCCCTCAGAGGACAGTCCAGCCGATCCTGATCCCAGCGGCTCCGGTGAGAGCCGAAGATCACGGCACGACGACACCAACAGGACCACGTCATCTACAACTGGACCCGGACTCCTCCGCACACGTAGTTGCACCAAAAAATTCTGCCCATAAAAGTAATGAACATCTTTTAAATTATTATTAAATAATTTAGAAACTGAACAGCTATTATCATCACAACGTCCACTCGGACCCCCACCTCTGAGGAAGTTGGTCAAACTGTTAGCTACATCAGCTAACGAGCATCAACATAAAGCAGCCCTGGATCAGGGGGACAAAAACAAAGTGAACAATGAAAGTTTAAATGATTTTTATTCTGCAGGTTTTTTTTATGAATCTCCATTAATTTGAAGAAGAAAAAAAAAAAAAAAGCAGAACTGTAGCTTCCTCTTCCTGTCTCCGCCTCCTCATCCTCACTCTGCTGCAAACATTTTAATCAGATTGTTCTGAGTTCACTTCAGTTTGTCCACGTGCTTCCTCCTCCTCTTCATCGTGTGCGTCCTCCTGTCGCACCAGGCTGCGTGGCGTTATCGCTCCACCGACAGCGACCTGGACGCCGCGTGGCGCCCCTACGAGCTCCTCCTGCCGCCCCGCAGGCGTGTATCCATGCCGGTCCTCTGCCGCCCTCGACGTGTGAAACATCAGTGTTTGTACTAATCAGCTGTTCTCGTCTCCCTCCTAAAGAGCTCTCCGGTCTTTTTTCTTCCCAATGATCCGTTTTGTTTACGGGGCTCTTCTGTTTGTGTCCTGCACGCAGTGTGTTTGGCGTAGTTACGCGGCTGACGAGAACTCTGTTTCCGTTGCTACCTGGAAGCCTCACTTGAAGGCGTTGCACACCTGCAGCCCGACGAAGTAGGTACCGACCCCAGTGCTGCGCTCCTCTTCTTCACTTCCTCTCCGAATAAATCTGTTGAATATTGTTTGTAAACTCAGAGGAACTGCTCGATCCAGGCTCGGCTGAATCTGTAGGTTTTTTTTTATTTTATCTCAGCTGATTCTGCTCAGGCTCTGATTCTAGTCATTTACTTGTTTTTGGTTTAATTGTTTAGAGATAATTGTAAAGTTCAATCTGCTAATGATGCATTTTAAAACTTGCAACACCTCAGATTTACTAAAGAAAGCAACTTTTTAGGATGAGTACAATCTAGATATTTAATGTAACGCCTGAAACTGAGCCTAAAATCAAATTTGTTCAGTTTATGAACGTTTGTGTGCAGTTTCACAGTTTTTAACTCACTGAGAGTTAAAACGATCAAAGCACCTCCTCTTCCTGCTTCTTCAGCCTGCATGTGGTGATAAAGTGCTTGTGTTTTTATTACATTTTAATGTGAGGTGCACATTTCTGAATATCTGCACTTTCTGGCACAGCTCCTTTTAAAATCAACCTGTGTGTTTTGCTGATTTTAATAAAAGTCTTGGTGTTTTTGCAGGTTTCAGCTCGTTAAGAAACTCCTGCTCAGCGAGCCTGTTCTGTGGGTCATGCTGACTTTTGATTTGCTCAATTTTGTTAAAAGGTTTCAGGAGTTTTAGTCATTAGAGAAAAAAACCAAAGAAATATAACTTGTCAGTCATTAAACAAACCCCTGAACATTTTTGGTTTCGTCAGGTTTAACATGTATTTTAGGTATAAACAGCCTGAAGAAGTTCACCACATGAACAAAACAATGAGCTCTAAACGTTGTCACTTAAAAACAAGAAGCTCATTTTGATGAATGTTGATGGTTCAAATGTTGATTTAATCTAAAAAGGCTTCATGTTCAAATCACAGCACTGAAAAAAGTTTTTTATCTAACATGTATGGGTTAAGTTTTAGTTCTTAAACATATTCTGTATGAGTTTAGGTTTGGTTCCTGACCTAACCTGTGGTACCTTAAGGTAAGGTACCACAGCAGGAACCAAACCTTACGGTACCACAGCAGGAACCAA